TACATGTTTAGTGCAGGACAGGCTTCACTTTGTTCAGCCAGTCCTTTCATATTTAATTACATGTTTAGTGCAGTTTCATTCAGCCAGTCCTTTCATATTTTATTATGTTCATTGTATAAACTTTGTTAGACATGTTCTTTAATAAAATCAATTTAATACAAAAAATTACTATATAAATGTGATCTAAGTTAATCACTAATAGGCAAATTGTTAGTAAAGTTATGATAGTCAAACTTTAAGATACTTACATTTACAGGCCACTCAAAATTTCCTTATACACAATATTGACAGTCTTCCATGTTTCATTTTGAGGTGCCAATATCACTTTAATGTGGTTTGCAGATATACACCAAGAAAGTGCAGCATAGAGTTGTCCATGTGAAAAAGCAGATGTCTGAAGGTCCAATCCAACTTGTCAAACTGACAGTCCTTTCATATTTAACTACATGTACCCAGCACTTCCCTTGTGCCAGATATGTACCCAAGCAATTTCATCACACTTAGAACATGTCATCACCTTCTCAGCTACCTGAACTTTCTCACTCTGATATCAATTGTCTCTGTGAAACTTGTTCTTGCAACTTCTTGACTTTTCTTTGTCATATATCTCTTGAACTTTTGATTAGAAACCTTGTCTTCATCATACATATTTGATTGCTTCACTTGTTCTTGATCTTGATCTTCACTGCTGTTACCATGAACCTTGATTCCCTGCCTTTGGTACCATATACCCCCCAAAGGATTTGGGTACTTATTTCCCCTTTTCCCCCCTTTGCTTTCCAGCAAACAACATACTGTTACTCCTGAGTCCCTTTCAGATAATGATGATAGTACCTTGGAATTTGACCTCCTTCTATATGGACATCAACCAGTGGTCTATAGTGCAGTTACTTCCAACTCAAAGGATATGCCAGTATCTCTTGTTAAGGACATGCTGGCTAACATCTCTACAGAAGCTGACTATAATTACTTTGCAGATTTGCCTATTGAAGTAACTCTGTTCTTTAACATGACAGACCTTTAAATATGTTATCTGCTTGCTATGTTGAGTTAGGTCAACTTGAGGAAGAGGACATTACAGAACCTAGGATAGATCTCCTGGAGTTAATCATGGAGGTCATATCAAATGCTAAGCCAGATTGGGAAGTGAGATGGAGTACAAGCAGCCAGGGTAGAAGTGATAAATGCCTGTCTTGTTGTTTGCTAAGCCTCTATTCAGGATTAGGTGATTAAAAGAATATCCCTGCTGAGTGCCTTCATATTATTAAGGTCTACATCGAGGAAAAGGGTATTAAAATTGCTTCAATCTCTGCATTGGTCCTCAAATAGTGTTCCTCCTTCTCCAGGATGTGGATAGGTTCTTTGTGCTTAGGAGCATTGCTGTTCCCTCCAAAGTATCAAAGAATCTTACTAACATTGAGCCCTTGAAAGAGATTCAAATTGAGTGTCTCTTTGAACTGGTGGTTTTGGAAGCATAAGATTGGGATCAGCTACCATATATCATTGAGAAGTAGGCCAGGAAGACTTTGCCTGGTTTGTACCTCAGTGGATGCATTCTCATCACTAACTTGAGCCTTATTGTCTTCTCTATGTTAACCTGGGCTGCTACAAAGTCAATCCTCCACATGCATGACTTGTTTAAACAATGCTTCCTAGTTAACATCTCACATCCCTATCTATTATGAGATTATAATAACTTGCCACTATAAAACCAATTCCTGAAGGACCAGGTGTCCAAAGGTACCTCACAGATCTACTCTTCTATGTCCCATATGGTGTGGGAAATACAAGAACTTAGGGCAGAGTTCAATCCATTCAAAATATGCAAACACAAAGTCATTACCAATGTCACAAAATTATTCATCTTCTAACAAGTCTTGGACAAATGCATGCCAACATTCAACATGCTTTATTGGTGCAGAGCAAGCAGTTCCAGCTGTGTACTCAAATTAGCAACCTTGAAACAAAACTCACTACTGCCTAAATGGTGCTTATGTTTACAGTGGACCCAACTGAAAGAACAGAATTTGAAGAGATGATTACTATGCTGTTTCAGGAGCTTGATACAAAGAGAACTGAACTGAAAGGGTCTAACAATTGCCTCTCCCAGATTACCAGCATCAGATCTGAACTTCCAGCCCCACCTGCCCCAAGGATGGAGGCACCATGGATTGAATGTGGGACCTTCAGAACTTCAGTCTTCTGCTCTCCCAACTGAGCTATACCTCCATATATTTTATATTTCTTATAGACATAGCATCAGCAAAACAGCTGATTGTTTATTTGGTCAAAGATGGTGTTAGAGCTGTTATTGCAACATATAAGGATAGCACCAAATTATCAAACTATATATTTAGAATCTTATAATCAAGTAGCATTTTGACTTATGTTCAGAATATCTACAATATAGGAAACTCAAATCATATTGTAACAAGTATATAAGACAAATTTATTTTGATATAATGATTACTTATCTTAATAATGTAACACAACACTTAGATCCTTTTCTTTTTTTGATAAAACTGTGATACTAGAAACAACTTCTATTATATGGTTCAGCAAGGCAAATTTGGGCTGTCAATTCAGCAAGAAGAATTGACAAACATGATTTTTGCTGATGATCACAATCATATCATCAGATCAATCAAATCAAGCACATGGTGTCATGACTCTTTGTATCATCAACCATCATGACCACCACCACTACACTGCACAGTACAGCATCAATGTCATCTCCTGCTGCTCTTACTATCCTCAATGAAGAACTTGATACCTTGATCTTATGCATAGAGGTGGAACTAGAGGCAGTAGTAGACTATTTTCCAAGGGAGGTCAGATACATCAAAGCTACAATGGGTATCAATTGTGCACCTCACTTTGTTACTGAATTATTTCCTTGCTCACCATTTGATAGTAATGCCATACATAACAACTCCCCCACAACTCCATCTTGATCTCAACTTAGTTTTCATACAGAGGCTCATTGACAAGAGACTGTTGCATCCTAGTTCCTTGCCCTTGGGTGATGAAGAGGATGAATCTTCTAGAGATGATATATAAGATCTGGAGTGTGTGTTTTTTTACTCTTCTATACTCCATAGCTTGAGAAGACTTTTAGAAAACTTTGTTTAATTTAGAGGATGGAGATTATTATGAGACCACTCTATGTAAATTTGTCAACATCATATGTATTTGATTCACCTCCTATTTTGTTTCTAATTTATCTTTAGTTTGGGAATAGGGCTAGCAGTACACAGACTGCTGATATATATAAAGTTATGCATGATTTAACACTCTTATTGCAGACTAATGCATTGAAGAAGATTATACCTGAAACTGCAATCCTCTTTCCATACAAAAAGTCAGCTCACAGTTTTGCTAATGATTCTACAAGGTTGTTGCTCTGCCCTGCATAATATCAAGTCCTGTTCAATGATGCATAAGTTGAACTCTCATGCATATCAAAAACTGACAGCAATGCATTTCAGATCTCTACTCAAACTACATAATAGCATAATTGAGGCTATAGCCCACAGCTTCCCTGTTTTCATGTACAACAACACTCTAGATTGTCCAGACCCTGAAGCAGCTGAGCAATCAAACAATATCCTTCAAAGTCTTTGCCATGGTCCTCTTCTTATCATGGTCAGTCCTATTTTTTTTGTCTTGTGTAACTGACCATCATTTTTTAGACCTGTCAACACATGCTTTTGGGATCTGGTAATGACAAGGCCAAGAAACATGCAACAAAGGCCTCAATTGCAAGTAAGTTTAGGATCTCCAGCATCAACCCACTATGATTGCATACACAGCTTGCCATGTAAGAAATATCTGAGTCTCAAATAATTCTGACTCTCACCCTTTCTCCAGGGATGACATGCCTTGAGTTCTGTCTTGCAGTGGAACATGCAAGACAGGCTATTTTCTCTTCAAGACTTTCATTACAATGTCCTGGACCTCTTTTATCCATCAACAAGTGAGCGGGGTCAGGATACATTAGCCTTTTAGAACAAGTGAGTTTTTTTTTCATTGATGACTATTCTAATGATTTCTTTAAGCTAATTTTACAGAGATAACAGCACTATTTGTCTTAAACACAAGAATGCTCCCACCATCCCTGATCATAACAGTGACATCAGCTACCTCAAGAGAGCCCAACTTGAGGAATGCAAGGCTGTAAAAGAATGTGAGAAACAGATTGGTGAACAATGCCAACAAGCCCAATTTAAGAGATGCAGAGCTGAAGAGGATGACTATAAGCCATGTGAGGAGACTGGCCTCAAGGAATGCAATGAATGAAAGTGACACCAAAGATCAACTCAGTGGCTGACTCTGCAAGAGCTGCATGAATGATCGACATTGCATAGACCAGAGTTGACCATGCCCTTGCTCCTTAAATAAGAGAGTTGAGAGCAAAGAAGACAACAAGGATGCAGGCAAGAACCTTGAGAGCTTGAATTGACTATGTCCATGCCATTGCCCCAATAGGAGAGTAGATACCAACAATGAGAACCTGTCAGGTGAGGAATAAGTTGGTGACAACAACTAGGAGTTTGATTGAAGCAAGGTTTTGGTATTGGTATTGCTATGGTGGTATTCTTTTAATTGTGCTACTGCTCAGGTTTTGGTAATTATTAGTTTTTTGTACTTAAACTAATTGCTAAATAGGAATGTGTTACTGATATCATTGTAAGCTTTTGTGAGTATAAGGTCAATATATGACCTCTTAATTAGTATATGAGTATAAGGTTATGTTTAAATGACTTTTGAGGTTGTATCATTTTAGCAGGATTATAATCCCATCCTTGGCTGGGATTAGTATGTTCATGCCACTTAAACAATAAGTGCCACTTGTAATTTGAATACTTTGAATATATGTTCAACTTATTAATTGAGGTCCATACTTTGGAATTATAAAAATTCTCATTTATTGTTTCTATTGGTGAGCATATGTGCTATTGCTTGCCTAAGTTTTCTATAAACCATTTTGCTGATGTATAACATTCACCAGGAGCTCCCAGTTCCATATCTTGCTTGTGGAATCATGACTGTTCTCCTTGTGTATTCCTGGAGTGCCAGCAAGCTCTGCAAGTAGGGAGCTATAACCACCATATATTCTGTAAGGTATCTGACCTGGTTTCAGAACCTGAAGGTGGGGAAATATCACTTCTTACTTACCTCATAACAGCATCACTGCTCCATCTTCCCATGGACTTTACTGCCTCAAAGGAACACCATGCAGGAGGTACTCAAGTACTGAGCCAATGCAAATGCTATAGAACCTTAGCATGCCCAATCTGGTAGCCTTTGATGCCACATTGATCCTCTTTGTGAATGCTGAGCATGTCATTGGGTGGAAGGTACTTTTGTGGACATAAGAAAATAAGTAATGATCATCTGGGGGCTTATTAAGTATCAGATGAATTCTCAGTGCCTTTTCAGGGTAGCAGGGGCCCCAGTTGTGCTGCAAAAAGATGTCCAAAGTAGTTTTATGACCACCACCTTGTTCCCTTCCCTGTCTATCTCATGTTGTATGTTGCAGGGCTTCACATGGTGTGAAGAATTGAATACTGCTAGGTTGAGTGTCATGAGTTCTCTAAGTCTTACCATGCTGAAAAACCTGACTTTCAATACCACATTCACTGCTGCTTCAAAGGAGTTAGATATGTCGCTTTGATGCTAGCCTCTCAACTAGCTCCAAGGCAAAGGGATTCCTTTTTTCTCTCTTCAACTCTGGAGGGGCTAAATGGGCAGCTCTATTTATTGCTGTCTGCAACTCTGTCTGCTACTATCTAGCCCTGACCATGCAGCATATACCATGCCTTGAGTGCACATACATGGTTTTTTATGGCTGTGCTAGAGTATGACCCTGCACAAGCTGCCACAAATGCCATTGCTAGGTCAGTTGACATTAGACAGCATGCAGCCTTACTGACTCTTCTCAGATTGCAGAAGACATGAAAGATCAGTAGGCCTGATCCATATGCCTCCCTAGTGCCAGGTGCCCAGGATGCTGCCATGATATTCAGAACCCTCTCAAGGTCCACTTCTTCTCCCTCTGCTCATGACTTCAGTGGATACCACCATAATAGACAGTCCCTTTCCATGCAGTACAGCCTCAGAACTGATTGAGCAGGTATTAATCTAGACTTGTAGGGCTGTGGCATAGCCATTGATAATATAGAAGGGACAAGTGAGTCAAACCTTGCTACTCCATTCACAGTGCCTCCCAACATTGCTACTGGTGTAGTTTTCCTCCTATAACCCTTGCTCATTAAAAAGCTGCCTTGCTTGTGCATCAGACTTATTGAGGGTGGGTTTTAGTAGAGGGTACTGTGTTGATGCATCCATGAGCTCTGTTTCTAGGGATCACTGGTTGAAGTCAACAGTAGAGGTTCTATAACTCTGGCATGAGTTCAATAGGTGGTAAGAGTAGCTAAGAGGATAAGAAGTGTTTTCTTGATGGGTTGTCTGCTGGGTTTTATGTGCTTAGGACATACAGAAAGTAGATGCAACCCATATGTGTTCAAGAAAGTTATGGATGTGTCTGAAAACACTGTTGACCTCATGGTTGTGACTACACCCATTTCTCCAGCCCTTAACCACCCCTTTGTTGTCTCTGTACATCCTGTGATGCTTTCCTTGCTCTGCTGCTCTGACAACACATCTGGTGAGGAGTTCAAGTCAACCACCTCTGCCCACCCAATGTCTCTTTTTCCTCCCTTGGTCTCCTACCCTAAAAGTAGTTACCATGCCCTCCAATGGTCTCTGACAACAATGGCAATCCTGATCCCTAAACTTGCATCTGAGTAAGCACTATAGTCTGAGACTGAGACTGGGCCTGATCTATTTTGTTGACCTCTTGTTTGTAGCTGCTTCTTCCACCAGAGGAGGTCCTGAAGTACTCCTCTCAGTGCATACTAAGGAATGAAATGACTTGTAGTAGCTGTGTGTAACATGGTCCCCAGTCCAGTGAGCCAAGCCCATCCTTATAGGTAAATCAAGGTAGCATGGAAGAGCCCACCTTATACCATCTATACTTCCTTGAGGATATGTAGTTGCCACAAGTGTTTTTCTGCAATGCTTATCTCATATTTTTCCACCTTGCCCTTAGTCAGTGTAATAGTGAGTTTCTCAAGATCCCATGAGAGTCCAATGAAGGTGTTGATGGAGGCAAATGGATGGTCTTTCA